CTGCTGCCAAAGATCCACTATATCTGACCACAGGGAGGGAGAGCTTCAGGGCAGCATGATCTGGCAGACCAAGCTATGGACTGAGAAGAAAGGACTAAACTCAGCTTGACACTGATTTCTTCCACATCCTGCATGAAACCACAAAAGCAAATCTATGCAAACTCAAGCAGCCACACCAATTACCTACTGCTCCCACTGACTTGAATATGTGTTCTAAGGGCACTTTAGTTTTTCAAGATCTGCTTCAAAGATCACTCTTGGCAGTGGATGATTCCCAGTGTTGGCCACATTAATCTGGATCATGCCATGCATTTCAGTAACAGATTTAAAAATGCAGCGCAAAAAGAGACTAATATTGTTTCCCATTACACATACGTCTATGGTAGTGTCTGCACTTTTATGATCATGCATATACATTTTCCTCTGTAAGTATTATGTAAAATTGGGAAGCACACTGTATAACAGTTCTGTATCTCCCAGGCACTGGGCTAAATAGTTTCAGTGCACAGAAATTTGACTGCAGAACTATGGGTGATTTTTTTTTTTTTTTTTTGCCACTAAATCTCCATGATGTGAGAGTTCCTTGCCTGTGTAGAAATTTACAGGAATTGTTAGAAAGATTTTTTTCGAAGAGCTTGGCACTGGCACAGGTATTTGAATAGAGGACAGAGACACCAGTAAATGGAACTGGTGCTTTGAAGAAACATAACATAAGCAGTTTGGAAATTCTGAATACAGAGATGCTTTGCTAGAGCTCCAAGCTTGGACTTCTGTTGTTGCCTTTATTGCCCCAAATTAACAGGAATGACATAAGCAGTAAAGGAGGTCTAGGACCTGTGTCTACACATTTCCTTCCAACCGCAGATTTCTGAAAAGTGGCAAAGGTTCAATCACTCTGCAACATCTCAGAATCTGAACTAGGTGTTAATCATTCACAAATGCCCTTATATGCTGCATCTAACACCATATCCCATTATCCTGTATGCCCTGTTATCCTATACTTTCTGCAAAAAACATGTATGATAGGTCTGAGTTTAGGTTGATGACATCATGGAAGAGTGGTCATGTCAATATATGATGTACAGGAGCGAGATCACTTTTGTAAAGGCCACGCATAGTACAAAGGAACTCACTGTTTTATAGCATTTAAAAATATAGACTACAGTGATAATGAGTGAAAAGTGACAATGCAACTTTTTTTAAAAGGTCTTCTCTGAGTTTCCACACCTGCTACATAAATAAATGTCATAAAGAATCATACATTAAACTATTACTGGCCCAGAACTCATCATTTTTGGTCCCGGTAAGGCGAAAAAGCTCCTGTGGTTATCATACATATGTAAGATGTAGGTTGGCACCGCACCTTTGAGCACACAAGTACACAAAGCTTTGACAAATCTATCTATATCTATATATATTTATAGATCATGCAATCAACTACTAGCCAGCTACATAGTAAAAGTACTCTCATTCCTCACCTTCCTTGCTACTTAAAGCAAAATATTTTATTTTTTTACGGCACAGTCAATGATAATGTAAGACCATCACTATATTAAGGACAGTGCTTTTAACCTTTATTCTCTACACATTTTTCAGTTCATTCAAGTCAATGAGAATTCTTTATGTGAAAGAACATCAGAGTGCTATGAGTAGGATGGTATTGTCTGAGCCACTGAAACTCACAAACATAGCTGTGCTATAAAGCTGACGCTAAAGGGAACTGCTCTGTTTTTTATAGACATAACAATTGCAACAAACAGTTTTTTTCAAATATAGGCAAATTATGAACTGCAGTTCTAACGTTGCTCATATTTTTGGTAGTTTCTTTAACAGAAAAAACTCACTTTCTATCACTATAGGTGACATAAAATACAAGGTAAAATAATAGAAGTTTGCTAAATCCCTTTTCAATTTCCAGCAGATAATTTTGGACACAAAATGGGACAAACTGCAGATACCTGAGGTACTCAAATACTAAAGCTGGCAATTTTTGTTTATAGTTACTTAACCTCCTGGAATATGATCACCACTTAAGATATAAATCTAGACCGATACATGTATTTTCATCAACGTTTACAACAACAGAAAAAGAAGACATCTTTTCAGTGTTTATATCCTCACTTAATTCTGCTTGTTATAAAGTCCTAAACTTGTTACACAATTTCTTTGCTATGCAGGAAAAACTCCATAAAACCCCCCTTCAAAATGTGTTTCCTATTAGGCAGTTACATAAAAATACCCTATGATTTACTGATATGCATTTTGTCTAGATCAGATTAGTTTATCTCTTTTCTCTATCCAGGTTTAAGTACTTTAAAAATGCACAGCTACAGCCCTTTATTGGTAGGATTTGCAAAACAAATTTCATTTTTGACAGCCCTAGCAAAACTAAGCATCAAAATATAAGCTATTAGGTAGTGCACGTAATGTTCACATTAAGAAATCAGTTTCAAAAGCAGTGGTAACAAATAAGGGTTTTTATGACTGATCCTGCAATCAGTGGTCCCTTCCTGAGCACGTTTTCAACATAACTTGTGCAAACAGCGTCCATCCTCTTTAGATCTGTCCTCAAATTTAGAAGGAAATGTGTAAATTTCTGTAAATGCTTAACTCTGCTTTTTTTCAAGAAAGTACTTACATGCTGATTAAACTATAAAGCAATTGCTTACGTTGGAAGAAATCTCCAACAGAGCAGAACCAATGTCATATCACCTGTTCCTTAACTAACATCAACTTTAATCTGTAGAAATAGGTATGTGGACACACAGCAAAAGGCACTGACGAGACCTGTTCTGGGATACCACCCATATGTCCATGTAGTCACACATGTGCAAGGAGATGAAAAGCACAAGAGAACATCCATGAGAAGGACAGAGAGAGCCCGTACACTTTTTGTGAGGAGACTGAGAAAACCTGGCTCAGTTAGTCCTACAGAATGAATGCTGAGAGAGGATATGATTGCAGTCTATTAATACACCCTGAGATAAACACCGGGGAGGGATAAGAACTATTTCAGTGGAGGACAATGTTGGCAGGAGAACAAATGACTATAAGGTGGCCATGAGTTACACTCATCCTAGAAATTGGAAGATTTCTAGTTAGGAGAGAACTGAGATTCTAGAGCAGCTTCTCACATCAGCAGTAGCAAGGGCAAGATACTGAAATGCTTCCCAACCAGAACTTGATCAGTTTTGGAAAGGGGCTATATGATATGGCTGCCTGTAACTGTAGGAGATCGCATGCGGTGAGTGAGCAGATGCCTCCCTGTCCTGTGTTCCTTCAGTCATTCCTCCCTACCTCATAGGACAGCCACAGAGTACGCCCAGTAGAGTGTCTTTCCATTTCCTGGTTCACAGAGAAATTGAAGACATTACTAGTTAAATCTTTTTAAAAAAATACATAGGATGTGCAGTTTAAGTGAGTTACTCTTCCTACACAATCCTTAATTTGTTTATATCTCCTGGCTTTCTATGTGTGTCTTCAATTTTCACTAAACTTCTTTAATCCCTAGTGCCTCAAACCATAAAAATGCCTATGAAATAAACAATACATTACTGCTCCAACACTGACACTTTCACTTGGGACCATCTGTGTGAGCTGCAGCTTGCACGTCCTGATTGTCAAGAGACCCGTTGCATTCATCTGGTTTCTCACACTGCACAGCAAAGCACAGTCATCCAACCCCAGATTAGCAGTGTTTCACTCCACCACAAAGTTAGTAGTTCTAGTTTTAGTCCCCTTGTTAAGCAGTGTATGCTATTACATGGCCCTATCTTTACTTTGTTCTGTAACACGCTAAATTAACTACATTAAACGCAGAAGTACACAAACCAGAATACTTTTGATCTTCAGCAAAGAAAATTTCACAGTTGTTTCCTAATGAAAATTCTTATTCAATATATATTGAAATAATAAGTAAAACTATTTTCAAGTGCCACAGCTAAGATTGCAAATGTACTTTCATTCCATAGCTTTCATTAGGATTAAATACAGCTAAAGTAATAAAGTTAGTCTATTCATAACAGCAAGAAGAATTCACTCAGTTAAAGCTCATCTGACGTTACACTTGATTTCATGCTGACCTTACTCAGCTGGCAGATGCTCTCCTGCTTGTGTTTTGGCTTATATATGTCTGATATCCTCAACTGCAAATTAACTGTAGTTAATTTTACACAGATTAATTCTGCTGAAAGTGACATAATAAGAGGATAGGAATTTAAAGTCATAGTGAAGTGGATGCTGGTAATGTCCACATCTGTGTTTCTAGAGTATTGGCAACATTTTAATTTCCTTGGGACTCTACATAGGATATTGTTGGAATTCTGGAAGTTAAGCCAGCAACACAACTGCATCCAGCTGAAACCAGAGAAAATGAAAAAACCTTGTATACTGTGGCTTAGAGCCTCAGGAAAAAAAATAAATTGCACATTGGTGAGTGGTTTATGCCTCTTTTCTAAGGAAATAAATATTGCCAGCTTTGCCACTACAGAAAAGTTCTAGGAGTCAAAGGCCAAGACATCTTGCCAAGTACAGCAAAACTCTTTTATAAGACAGAAGAGATTCTGCACCAGAAATACCTGGAGCTTGTGTTACTGATTCAAAGTTCCCCAACGTAACAATTTATTCTCCTTTAGCATATGTAACTTGTTATATTTTTATTAAGTGCTGTTGCCATACTGACTACACAGGGTGCTGCTTGAAAATGTATTTTTCACAATTTCTATGACAGAAAATTTCATAGTAGCCATTTTTAAAGTTTCCAAAATCTACCTACTTATGTGCCTAGATTAATATCTTCTGAAATACTTATCAGGCAAATGAAATAGCTTACTTTTTCCATCTGCATTGTGATAAAGACTAGAATAAAAGAACACATGGCTAGCTTGGCACTTTGTCAAGATATTTCTTCAGTGCTACTCCCACTCAAATTCTGTGTTACTAAATCAGGGAATGGGGAAAATTTTAATGAAGATTTTTCCAGAATATTATATATTCCTTACCTGTGGGCAGTCTTTGATGTAGTGTCCCTTGTTAAAGCAGAGGTGGCACAGGTAGTTAGGAGGTGGCCTCTTGCTGGGTTTTCTGGCTTCTGAAGAAAGGGATAGGTCAGAGAAGTGCTCAGTGAGGGAGCTTAACCCATCCACGATGTTATTAAGTGAGCCATAAGGCGATGCACTCTTGTACAGACTGCTGCTCAGAGCCTGCAAAAGAAAAGAAAAATATTGCATGCAACATAGTACTGTATTTAGGATTGTTCTGAGGCAGATCTGCATAGGAGAAGGATAAAAAGAGCAGGGAAAAAGTGATTTTTCATTAGAAACATGGCTGCATATTTGAGGAGAGCAATATACAGGCCATTAATAAAGAGGTTTCACAAAAGCAGTGCAATGGAGCTGGTCACTCCACTGCTGAGGAAACTGTTGAGCTTGCCATGGTTCACTTAGTCCAACCTTTCCACTAAGCAGTGATCGCTTTCTTGTGTCTGACCATTCATGGTATGGTTAGAATATGCAGCCAAAAAGCTGAAAGAACAACTCACAAAAGAGAACGTTTTTGTGTCCAAAACTACTTAGGCAAAGAATATTGAAGTCAGGGAAAGGAAAAGAACACCAAGAAAAATGCAAAGTAACTTTTAATTTCCAATCTGGTTAATCAGATAGTCAATATAGAGTCCCATGTTCAAATCATAACAAGAAACATTGAACTCTACATCTGGTTTTGATTTTCTAAGGGGAACCCTACTGCAATTTAAACATTTCCTGATAAACAATAAATAATTGGGTTTTGTACTTCACCTTAATAGGATCTTCACTCTCTCAATCCACAAATCTAAATCAGTAGCTCCTAATTTGCCATTCAGTAGTTTTAGAACAGCAGGAAACCCATCAACACCTAAATAGCTATTCTCCCTAATGGAGATAACAAAGATTCATTCTTTAACCTGCTAACATTCAAAAGAAACTCTAGCAGGAGTTTAAAAAGTAAATAACTCTTAAAAACATTAACATAATAATGAATTACTGTAGAAATAGGATCAACTATTGACTGTCCTCTCCATCCTCACATTATGGGACACATTTCACAGGGTGTTTCCATCTTAGGTCTGTAATGCTATGCTCATGTAATTCTCCTGGCATCAGAGAATTACTGCCAGCTTATGGGAAAGTGAGGTAAGAAACGATCCAATCTGTGCCTCTGTGGGGACCTTGTTTTTCAGTGCTATTAAATCCAAATACTTCAGTGGAGTCTTTATATATGTCATATATGTTTTTATATATCTATACTTGTTATATACATATTGAAGACATGCATTGAAACTGATTTAGAGAGTTTGTGAAATAAATCTGAAATGGAAAATACATTTATTTCAGAGATCTCAAACATTCAGGATGCCTGCACACTGAGTGTTTTCTGGCTGACAGTCACACACCGAAAGAATGATACTGAGGCTCTAGGCACAAGTACCTGGATGAATCCCAGCTATCACTGAATCCCATCCCACTGCAGATGGTGTACACTGTAACAAAAAATTCAGCCTGAGATAATCTGCTCCACGCAGTTGCTCTATGGTCAAACAAAACACTGGCCCCTCTTACAAAACTGAAGCTGGTGCACAGCAGCAGGATCAATTCAAAGGGCCCCAGAGTAGAATCTGATCTCACAGGTGACTTCACATATGTCCAGGCACTGAAATGCCCATAATTGTACTCCCTGTATGGCACAGTTCTGTGCTGGTTTGGGATATTGAGGTTGCTGAGAGGAGAATCAGCCACTTTGTTTCAGGGGTTAAAGCTGTAGATTTTAAAAGGAAAAGCTATTTGACAAAAATTAATAAAAAGATTTTAGCTGCTTTAGCCATCAAGGAACCAAAGATACCTCCAATGGTCCCTGGAATTTATTGTCTAGGATTTATTGGATGCTATTGGAATGAGAAATTCTTGGCATCAAATTGTTAAAAGGAAGCGGAAGTGCTATTGATGCCAAAATAGTATTAATTAAGAGTCTTCAAGAAGTTCTTGTCTCCCTAGGAGCCATTCTCTCTCCTACATACACTTGGAATAATATAAAATCTTCATTTTTAAGAGTCCTCTTGCCTTTAAGAGATTTTTAAAGTACTTCACGTGCATTACACACATCAGTAACTGCAAATTTCTTATTATCTGATTTTTATAGAAGGTTATATGTATGGACACACAGAACGTCTGAAATCCCAAATTCTTTACCTATTGCCAAAATCTAAAATATCTCCTGGGGACGTAGAATATGTAACTCCTGCCTATCAGAAGGTTGTTATTTTTGTCTCCAGGGCCAACTCTGTGACAAAACAAAACACACCTATCTGCTGCCTTCAGTGGGCTTTGAATTGGATATATTGCTTGCAGTGGTGACTTTTCTAAAATCCCTTACACTGAGCCATTGCCCTCATTAAAAGGGAGAAATTTGGGGATTATTTGAGAAACTGGGGATTATGTAATTCACTCCTCCAACAACTGTTCTGGGCACATTTCAGGTCAATACTGTAACATAAGGTGGCCCACTCTGCCAGCAAATCTTTACAAACTTTTGTTTCAACCAGAAACCTTGTCAAAAGGCTGGAATCCCACCAGACTATGGGCTACACTGACACTAAATCATAATCTTAGCAGCCACCATTGGTCCTGTGGCCAAAGTGTGGCACATGGCTCTAAAAGTGGCCACCTGGTTCAGCTGGCAGTGCATTTGTGCAGTACATGCCAAAGTTGGACATGGCAAAACATCCAGTCTACACATGGCACCACAAAATACTTCCCTATAATCATCTTGAGGCCCAGTGTTAAAAAAGGAAGAAACAAATACATCATCCCAGAAGATGACCCAAAGGAGAAGATGGACATTGCTGATGTCACCGGTACTTTCAAGAACAATGAATTCCTAAAGCAAATTCCTAGACGATCCCAAAATGCAGCCCATCCCTCTGGGGGATGGGCAAACTGCTTCAGCGGTTCCACTTGAATGTTGCTGTAAAGAGCACCAGCATAGATGGTGCTACATCCTGTTTATAGCTCTGGAAACCTCCAGTTCTTCAGAAGAAGGTGAGGAAATAAGCTATTCCCAAAAGCCAAGTTATATAATAAGGGTGGTAGTGGGAAAGTTCATCCTGGCCCCTGGAATCAAACAGTGAAAGCTTAGGGCATGTAATGAATGTGATGAAATCGTGTTTCAGTCCATTTTGTCTTTGTAGAAGACAAGGGGTGTATGAATAATGCTGAGATATATAAAACAGTTTTGGTTGTTGTTTTTTTCTTTTCCTGGGGCATTTTATTGTGCAGATCAGCAATTCAGACCTTACTGTCTGCACTGCTGCAAAGGGGATTTCTAAGAAGAGTTTTGAATAAAAATTTTTGAATTACCATGACACTCAAAGGGGATGTCCAGAGAATGATCAGTGGCAGGGTGAATGATGATGGTCTCAGACAGAAAATAGACAGGAAGTTAGAAATGCATTCTGACTCACTGTGTTCTCAAGTGTATTGGTAGACATCTGGGAGGTGGCAGGGAGATGTCTCCTCTGATGAGTTCCACCCAAAGCAATGACTGCTCTGTGTTCACAGTGCACCACTAGCAAAGCCAACTCTTTCAAAAGTAGACAACAGTACCTCTCAAATGGAGTCTCATTTTGAGCTCTAACAGGATAGGAAGGATTTGGCAGTGAAAGAGTTAGTGCTCTCAAGGCACAGACCACACTGCATGTCCTAATTACAAGGCTCATCAACCCAGCTGCAATGAATTCAGGATTTCCTTATCTTGCTGTACTGGGGGGATGGGGGACCTGACGGTAAAACTTAGAAACTGGTTTGGTGGGAAGTTCCAGCTGATAATGTAAGTTTGTTTATTTGTTTTCCTTCCTATGAAACTTGTTGACTTAGTCGAATGAACTGAACTGAAAATCTGGTGTTGTACTTTCCAAAGGTAACCTCTCTGCTCCGTAGATCTTTAAACTGTATCTGTTGGTGGTGTTGGGAAGCAAAGCTTCCTTTGTTATTTGTTTGCTGAGTGTTTCCAGTTAAAGGCTACGTAATCTGTAAAGTTGCAGTGTGGTCCTTTGTGAAAGAGGCAGCTATTGTCTTCTATAGCTTCCTCACTCTGATTTCCAGTTGGGTAACATATGCAAGTGACTCAAGAGTTCCAGCATCTAACTCACCTCTATGAAATTCCTAGTTAAGTGAATGATTCCCTTGGCTAGGTCCCTGCCTTTCAGAGACAGCTTTTGGGATTGATGTGCCAACAGGGGGAAAAGGAAACACTGGCTTTATCTCTACAGCTTCTTTTTTAGCAGTGGTAAAATGCTGAAAATAAAGACAACAGAACTGTTAGGAATATGCAATGAAACACTTAAGTAAGTGGCAAGTCTTGCTTTCCAAATTTCCCACTGGTATGTATGGCTACTGCTTTAGCTGTAAAGGTATTTTTAACAGGAACCAACAAGAAAGCACAGATACCACAGTAGTATCTCAATTATGAAATGCTGAATTCTGACCAAAGGTGAAAGGATTACCTATCTATCAGAACAGCTGATATTAATAAGCAATGGCAACCTGTTTAAGTGGGAATGGTATCTTCTTACTAGGATTTAAGAAGTGAAGCTTTTAGGTATGGACAGGAAAAGGAGAGGCATACCTGGAAAAATCAGTTTCTACCCCAAGTGCAGTTTGTTGCTGCTGGACCCTTAAGGCAATGATAAGGGGTTCATATCCTATCCATTAGTTACCTGAAGCTAGAATGACCTGTGCTGGTTGACATGATTGATAGGCTGTATCTAGCCAGTAGATCTGTTTGATAGTCTTTAAGTTAGTATGATTTGTGCTCATGGTTCTCTCCATGTCTGTTTTAACTGCACATACTGAAGTGAGGTCCTGTAGCATTTCAATATTCCTATAACTTGCTCCAGTCATCAATGTTTCCATAAAATAGTCTGTAATTGAAAAGTAATGAGCAAAGAATTTCTGATGACTTGTTTTTGCTTTAGTATGTTGCCAACCTAATAAAGCAAACAAAAATAAAGCGGTCTTAACTGCTAGAGTTAAGTTTAAGTCAACAGGCGCCATGGCTCTTTGAAGCCTGTTGGAAAAGGCAAGCTGGGCTTCCCTGTCATCAGTGTGGAAAAAGTAAGGTTTTCGTATACTTTAAATTGTAAACGTTCTCCAGGCTACATGATGGTAAC